GTTTCTTGAATCCTGCTTCAATGACATTCTTTGGAAATGAGTTCACACAGTGTGCAATTACACAGCTGAAAAATATCTATTTTGTTTTATCAGTTATAAACGCATTATCTTTTGACTAACTGGATGCCTCCTTGTTTATATCTGATGAGAAGAGGCAATTCTATTAGGTCTATCTACCTTTGCAGTCTTTTTCTGCTTACGTTTATTCCATTTCCTTTTATTTATTTCTGGTTTAAAGCACAGTATTAATCTATCTTCATAAGAGTATTTTTCCATGTCTGACAGTCTTTGTAATTGGTTCTGGCCGCCTTCTATTTTTGCTATGTCATCCCTGGGGATATAAAATATAATAAATCGTAATGACAGAGTATAAATTAATTTAGCATGCATTTGCACACACTATGGCTGCTTCCTCTAAGACTCTTGGTATTTCTTGAGCTGACTTCCAGTTGATTCAACCAGCTGTCAATTATTTTAATATGTGTATTTTTCAGAAGTATTTTGCTTTTCTCTCACACGCATTTTCTTCAGACAAAGGGCCACACTGAATAAGTTATACGCCAAGTCACAAACAGCTTTCCTATACATGTCAGTATTTTACATCAAATCGGTTTCGTTATCAAGAAGAATGGAGTTTGGCTAGAGAATGAAGATTTCCTTCGCCTTACAGGGTTGGACTTCACTTTTCTATTGGCAAGGGCTTAAAACAGTCATATAAAGTTTAGAAAATAAAGTTAGACCATTTTGGGGTATTTTCTGGCTCCTAAACCTGCTGCATTTTACAATTTGCTTTAGTTGGGAATTACACTTAAGTTCAAAAAAAGTAAAACACAATGTTCTTCAAATTGCCCTAGAACAGCTTTTCTGTAAAAAATGTGACTTATGCATGTGTACAGAAGGGTGAAATGCAAGTATTTTACTTGAATGAGCTTGGGCATTATGATGACTTGCAGAACTCATGGACTGTAGTCATCCAGAATTCACATTCATAAAAACTGCGTATCGTATCACAAAATATGTATTCTCTCATACATATTACATATGTTTTAGCTTAAAGTATTGCTAGGGAACTGCTAGAAACTGCTGGGGAAAACACGAAAAAGAAAGTCTTGCCATCCCTGGACGCTGTTATTGCTAGTTGCTGAACCTTCCTCTGCTTCTGAAGATGAAGGCCTGGCATTGCTTCTTTTTGTGAACTTTGGTATGGTTACAGCTAGATGCCTACAGTAAACACCTAAGAAAGCTAAGATGAAACAGGCAAAACCACACAGTATTTCTCTCCACCAATTAGAAAGGGAGAATAACTGAGATTTGCCATCTAGGCATTTAAAATTTCATGAGATGAATTCCAGCCTAGGACTTTGGCATTATCAGCTTCTGGAAAGTGAAAAACACTTGCTTCTAAATGGGGGTAGAAAACCAAGAAAGGATATACAGATACTTCAGTGCCTGCACTATGTTCTGGCGCAGTGCCAGAAAGATGGTTTTCACCATGAAATGGCTAACAATGGGCCACCGCAGGGGGTGAAGGATGTCTCACTAACACTTGTGGTGCGTGCCTAACACTGCTGGGAAGTGGTGAACCTCATCTTGCTGGCAATAGTCTCCAGCTGCTTGGTGAAACACTCTTGAGTGCCAAGTGCCGCTGAGAAGGCTACCGGTGGTGGAAGCAGTGGTGGATTTGTGGTCTCCAACGCAACGTGGCTCACTGTCCCTGGGCTTCTCTGTGCTTCTTGCTTAGAGCAGCGGCACTTCTGTACGGCTTGCAAGCCTTTCAGAACAGGCAGCCATGGCAAGTTTAGTTTGCCAAGTGAAGGGTGATTGACCATTTGCATAAGATACCTGATTGTGGCACAGATGAGTGAGAGATGCCATGAATAGTAAGAGGGATTCGAAAGGCAAGCCCTGAGAGCTACTGGGGTAGATACGGTATCCGAAACCCTAAGAGCATGACAATACCCAGAGGGCCTGCAGCCTGGAGTCACTAAAGCCACTGAGTGTCATGCAGTTACTTGGTATGAGACGGGGGATCATCTCTGTACTGCTCTTTCCTACCTTTCCCATTTTTGCTTTCTGTCTCCTGAGAGGCTGGTTTAATCCGCCAAAAGCACTCCACCCTTTTCTCCCCTGGGTGAGAGCCTGGAGTAAAAGAGCAAGGGAGAAACAAGTTTTTCAGTAGCATAATGTCTTGCCAGGTCATGAAGTGGCTGCTAAAACCATGTTGTCTGGCTTTGCTTTCAAAACAGTTCAGACTTCCATGGGAGTCAGAGACAAAGGCTGCATTTTCTGTTACTTCTCTCACTTTTTTTTTTTCCCCTGCTGTGTTTGAGTGTGTCCCTTAAGGGAGACCGGATCAGCATTCAGAAGCAAAATCACAAGTTTCTCCTCATAATGATATTTATAAAGATGTTCATAACATTTTAAATAACATCCATGAAGTTTCTCAAACAGGATTTCACAGCCTTCCCCTGCATACAGCTTCGGGAAACATGACAATGAAGTTGCTTAGAGGAAGAAACTTTGTATTTAAGTATTTAAGTATTTTGTATATTTTTCATCCTAGGCAGTTCCAATCTATCAGCTTCTTACTCTGGAAAAATCTTTTTATTAGATGCGTATAATTAATTTTAAAAAGAAATAATAAATTTGTAAGGACAAAGTCTGTAGAACAAATTAGCAGAAAATAATATTCTTTTTATAAGAGCACGAGATACTGCACAACCATGCATTGGGATCTTGAAGACAAATAGAAAATCTGGACTGAAATGCTCACCTCTCTGAAGTCAACTGGACTGATTTTCATTGACTCGTTTAAAGCTAGGATTTCACAACAAAGTCCAGAATCTTAAAAGAAAGCCTAAGGAAAAAAAATTTAAACTTAATAAAACTAAAAAAGACTAGAGGCATGCAGTTAAACTTATTTGTGTATATTGGGAATGCTGTGTGGATTTCTTCAGGAGACCAAAACTGAGAAGAATCATAAGTATTTGCAGGATTAAAGCCTAATGGTGGAGCTGATGGTAACCATAAGAAAAATGGTGTAAGGAAGGCACTGGACTAAAATAGTAGGGTCATGTGGTGACTAATAACTTATTTGATCTTTTCAAGGATCTAAATACAGAACTCAAATCAAATGAAATGGTTATTTACTACTTAAAGTTACTCCAGCACTCATCATTGTAAATTAGAAACATTCAGCTCTGCTTGCTGAATATTTTTTGTTTATAAATTTGAAGAAGGAGTGAGAGGTTAAAGAACTAGTTATAAATTGACCCAGCCTTCTAGAGGAAACCCATGCTAAACCTGATCTGTCTTAAAAACTGAGAATGTGTTTTGTCTCCTACCCTCTTGAGATTTGGTTAATATTAACGCAAGATGTGAAAGGGAATTCTGTGCTTCACTTTTTAGTAGTGTTCAGTCTTGCAAGAGAAGGGATTGAAAAAGAGAGAGAGATTTTGCTTCGAAACCTACTGGAAAACTAAAGGCTTTTCCAGTCCTTCAAACACTTGTGTGCCTGCTTTATGCACATCAGTACAATTTTGCTAGGTTCTTTTTCAAGACAGAGGGCTCAAACGGCACCGGTGTACATTCTGTGATTCCAGGTTCAAGTGAAGTGAATGTGTCCTTTGTGCAGTTGGGTAATAAATTACAGTTGGCTATACGGCATCCCTAAGTCATTACAGAAATCCTTAATCAGTGCAAAAGTGAGATTATAGTTAAAACCATGACGCTTCTGGAGGGAGCTGTTATGGATAAGGAGGTTTTATGACAGAAAAACTAGTGGTTTTTTCATGGATTTGTAAACCTGGACTCTGTGGGTGTCTGCGGGCTGTTGATGGGGAGTTAATGGTGACTCCCCTTACGTTGGGGCAACCGGCCGGTGGGGACCAGCCTCCCAGCCCCGGGGCTGAGCCCCTTCCAGGCCGAGCAGGCAGGAGGACATCATTGCAGCCCCAGGGCCGCTGCTGCCCTGTGATCTGCTGCTCAGTCCCCTCAAGGGCATGAGGCAGCCAAAAGCAAGACCTGTGGGTCTTCCGTGAGGGATCCCTGAGGGCTGTGACCTGTGGTAAGAGAAATCCCAGTAACATTAAGCAAGCAGAACGACCAGAAATGGCTTTTCGGCATACTTTTCACGGTTGTTTGGGCATCTGACCCTAACTCACAGTTCAGAATAACGGGCGAGTGCCTGGGGTGGGGATTTTTATGGCAAAGCATGTCAGTTTGAGAACGGGAACTGTCGAAAATAGCAGCTGGTACGCGGGGCGTTACATCTGGATCATTCCACCATCGAACTGGGAGCTACTGGGAGTCACTGGACCGCAGGGCGAGCGAGGTGGGAAGGGGATGGCATGTGGCGCCCGGCTCTGCCCAGGCCCCTGACCCCCATCCCCAGGGTGGGGACGGGCCCGCCGGCGCCTTAGGGTGCCCCGCGTTGCCCCTAAGACACCCCTCTTTTCGGGGGGAGCCGGGCGGGCCCTCGGCGGGGCCCTCCCTGAGGGAGCGGAGGGTTGTGGGGGCTCTTCCCCCTCCCCGGGCCGAGGCCGAGCTCCGCAGCTGGGGGCCGGCGGCAGCCCTGCGGGCCCGGCGCTGTCAGAGCGGGGCCGGCGCCACGCCGGTTTCCGTGGTGACGGGAAAGCCCCCCCC